TCTAGACGCTTCTTCCTCAGCAGTACCTTTATGGTGGTTTGTTTTATGGTGATTAAAAACAGAGAGCTCGTTTTAGTCGCAGAGCCCATTTTCTGGGAAAATCTGTACATTTTCCTGTCTTTTAACTCCCACTTTTCTCTTGTTTTTTTCCCTTCTAAAGCAGCAAATAGCAGCATCTCTAACTGGGCTCTGAAATCCATTTATCGTTATGGGCAGCAGCACAATTTCTCTGACCAAACTCCACTCTGTTTGTTTGTCTGGTTCAGGTTTTTCCTCCCACTCCTGTCTTTAAATGTCTCCCCATGGTGGGGTTAAAAATGACGACTTAACGCAGCCGACCACAGCAAACACACAGAGGAGACGAGACGGATGTTATATACCACTGCTTAGTTTTCAACGCACAAATATTTGCAGTTAGTGACAGTTTACAACTTAAAGAGACTCTGTAGAAGGACTTAAAGTAGGGTAAAAAAAAGAAATCTGTCACAAGATTATATATTTTTTTGTAAAAATAGGAAATATTTCATCAGATTTTTAAACCAAATTTTAGTCGGTTAAAACAACATACAGTATATGTACAAATATTTGCAATTAGTGGCAGTTCACACCTTAATTGACTGCAGAAAGATAAAAATGTAAAAAAAAAAAATTATTTTTTTAAGGGAAATATTGTATGTAATTTTTAAACCAAATTTTAGTGTATTGAAATGACAATATATGTACAAATATTTGCAATTATATTTTCAAAAATACAAATTAGGAGACTCCGTATTATGACTTATCAAAGATAATAGGTAGTAAAATGTTATATATTTTATCAAATTTTTTACTTGTGTGTTTAGTTTATTTAAACACCATATACCATACATATCAAGATTTGATTATAATATAATATAATATAAATATAATAATCAATAATACAACAAAACTGTACTTTATGAACCCTCCATCAATAGAGACAATCTGTGATTTTTAGCCCAAGAACACAGTTGTTGCTTGTCCTCTGCTGCCTCCTTTGGCCAGTTTGTGTCACTGAGTTAAATCTGAACCAAGGTTTTTTTTTTTCCAAACTGGTGATGGGAGCAGCAGTGGTTCAACTACTGCAGATTCCCTGTGAGCTAAAACCATTGATTTCCCCTATGAAGTTAAGAGTGGGGGAATTGAGTGGTTTACAGACGTCATTTTCCTGTTGTTAAGGTTCGTCCTACAGCGAGATCAACACTCGGGCTGATTGTTGAAATGTCTTATTGACTCTACAGACGACGGCGATGACGGCACACACACAGCAACAGACTTTACATGAACAAACACTCCTGTTGGTTTCACACACACACACACACACACACACACACATGCACACTCAGGGCCAGAGATATTTGAAGCATTTAATAAATTATTAATCTCTCCTCTTTTTTTATTTATTCATTTACTCACTCATGTTTTTTTCATGGCTCAGCAGCTCAGTGTAATCTCATTGAGCGACCAGATGGTCGTGGCTTTAATTAACCACTTCAAAAGCAATAACTGGAGAGCTGGCCAACGCACACGCAAACACACACACACACACAAAAGTTCTGCACTCTTATGACGCTTATTAATTCATATTCCATTAAATTAAAAATTGAACTCGGATGTCGTGCACCAGGTTTCACTTCTCGTCCTAATACCCTTCTCTCCCTGAGTTCCGAGGGTGTAACTGAAGGAGGTGGAGCTGTTGTTTGGACGGACCCACCCCCCACCCCCGCCGTGTACGGTGGACTCAGCTCCTGGGAGCCGTTTATAAAAATAATCTTCTGTTCATCTGTGCTGCTCTATTCTGCAGCCTTTATTTTCCTGTAGTGTCATTATATCTTAGAGCAGTTCATATCCATCTGTTCCCTTTAAGGAATCATGATGGATAATCTGTCTGACTGCTACCTGTGTATGTGTATGTATATATGTATATATATATATATATATATATGTATATCTATATATAACAGCTTTTGTGAGATAGCAAATAAGACGTTGTCGTAACCAGGCTCCTATAACAGAGAATTCGCTTTTTCCGCTCATATTTTTCTATTTTCCTCTAAAGAGGATTTTAATTAACTTAGGTCCGGAAGAAAAGAAAATATTCCTGATTAGAGTTCAGTTCAAAGAAAAATCCTTTTGAAAATGTCTGACTATGAGGAGGACAGAAATCATGAACAGATCAGGAAAAAAAAACAAAAACGTTTCATTCTCTAAGATTGGACCTATTCTTGTTTTTAAATTGAATTTATATTTTAGAGGAAATTGAAAATATTTTGGTAAATGGTAATCTTTGGTAAGTTGTTTTCAAGGTAATATTCCTATCAACTTTTTTTCAACAATTACTAATGTCTGGATATTCTTGAGGTTTGGGTTCTACCTTATGACTACGTTTTGGTCAATTGAATCTGACTTAATTTTTTTTTTCATATTTTGTACATGAGCCACTAAAGACTCCAGTCTCCTGATTTCTTATATCTTGTTTGGCTTCATGCAAATCTTAAAAGTCTCCTGATTTCTTATATCTTGTTTGGATTCATGCAAATTTAAAAAAACAACCACCTGAATGTCACATGTGCCATTGTTAAAATAAGGCAATTAGCCTCCAGTGGCAGTCGTCGGCCCACAGATGACTAATGGGTGCCCAGGCAGGAATGTCGAACCCTGATAAATTTCACTGTCTGTGGTTTTTTAGTAACGATGACTGACGGTGAAAAGGAGAGTTGGGGGTGGTGCTAGGTGACTTGGGTGACAGACCAATAGGGGGTGTCAGAGATAAACTCAGATTGACAGTGGAGCGACTGTGACTAAATGCTAATGCAGCAGATGACATTTTCGTGTTGGCCCGGGTTAAAGTCGATGCTGCTGACGCTCTGACAGATAGAAAGGACTGAGCGGGGTGGGGTTTTTACCCACAATACCTCACACTCTCTGTGCTTTTAAAGAGGAAAAGAATGTGAGTGTCGAATATAAAGGCTAAGATGTTTGATGGCGTTTATCGTTTGATTCCAGAGGAAGCTAACAGCGGAAGCTTAAGGCGTCCATGAAGGCAACATCAGATAAAAACGGTATCATTATCAGACAAAACCAAAAGAATGGGAGGATGACAACACTGATATTTCACCAGAAGCCCTTGTTCTGATTTCCCATCATCCACTAGCCTCAGTTTAGCCTCTAGTTTGACATGACATCCCCTAAATCCCTGAGCTCTGGTCGTGTTGATAAACCCTGAGCTCCGATCTGCAAACTCAATTTCAAAGCGGAAAGGAGGAAAGAAAAAAGCGATCTGCAAACTCAATTTCAAAGCGGAGAGGAAGAAATAAAAAAGAAAAACTAAGAATTAAAACAGATTTTTTTAAGTAAAGAAGTTATTTTTGTTATTATAGAAAATTTAAAAAATAATTTAATACCGAGATGTCATAGCTAGCTTGTGCATGGGGCTAAGTAATTATCATGGCTGCCCTCAAAAGGGGCAGTTGTAACTGGAAGACTGTATAGACGTGTTTCATAAGACTCATTGATAAATAGTTGTCTTTATATTTGTCATTACTGCTTTTTCAAGTTATAATGTTATAATAGATATTTTACTTTGTTCAGTTAAATACATGTTGAAATTAAACTTTTAATCTTGTCACATTAATTGATAATGTTATTTATTAATAACTAGTATAACTAATATCAATACCAAAGTCACCCAGAACAGGTTATCAGAGTAACAATATGTCTATGTATATAATGAGGCTAAGAACATTCTGGAATCATACCTGCACACAGTTCTAAAGGACTAAAAAAAAACATCCAAATGCATTGTGGAAGTTGTAGTTCACAGTCAATATTTATATTCGCTGTATAGCAGCACAGACAATATTTGGACTGGACAAAAGTGAACGTATGCAAAAATAAACCCCTCATATTTCGTGTCAATTCTGTTCAGTGTAGTGCACTGATTTCTCGAAGTCATTTCCCGTCGTAAATTAAAGCCCTCACCTCATTCCAAATGAGATCAGGGTAATAATTAGACACAGAAATTTAATTATTTAATA